AATTCTGTGTAGAGTCTTACTTACTCTCTAAAGAATAAAGGATCGTGTCTTCAGATACATAGATTTTGTTGTCAGTTGTGAGTACTTCACATGTAATGGTCATAGTGTGACCTGTTGTTTTCTGTGGCAAAGTGCGGTTTATGCTCAAGGTGCCACTGGAAATGCTAACAACCTGAATCCTCTTGTCTTCCAGAAAACTTTTCGATGTCCAACATTTCTTATGACGGTTACAGTAACCGATTTCTTCGGCTCCTTTCACTTTCCAATACATTTCATCGTATTTGCTTGGGTCCTTTTTGATTGCATCACAATCCAGCGTCTGAATATCACCTCTAATGGAATGCTCTTGCCTTGTTATGTCAGAACCTGAAAAATATGTCATAAAAATGATGATACTAACTATAAAGGGTCTTTAAGGCTTTTTTTTTTCAATTCACTATAGAATTTTACGATTAAAAGTAATTATTCTTTACTGATTAGATATTAAACAGTCGGATCCCATCCTGAGATGAAAAGGAATAAAAAATAAAATAAATGTATAAAGAAAGAAATAAAAAAAATAAAAAAAAGGATATGGCAAAATGTAAAAAACTGCTTGAAAAATGTGCGGAAGGTATTTATGCCGACGCTATTAAATGACGAGAGGGCGGTAAATACCATAACTTATTTGCGTCTTATCGTTTACGAGAGCTTCTCAGTAAGCATGTTTCAGCTTATTCATAGTAAATCAAGTTAATTGTTAATCATTCTGTATTGAGTAGTCAATTCCTTTTACTGTTATATAAGCCTGAAACCTCTTTTCCTATTTATGTGTTATTGTAAGTTTGACGAAGTTGCCTAACCTGTGGTATCTACCGTCAAAACTTGTTTCACTCGATCATAGTGGGCAGGATAGTCTCCTGAGTGAGTAAATTGTTGCTTTTACTTTGTTTCCTGTATTGTAAAAATGACTGCATCGATAAAAAAATGTCTGGTTTCTTGGAGGTCGCTATTACCTACACTTTTCACAAGCCCCTTTGTGAAAGATCGTCAGGATCGAGCGCTTACCGGCGCGGTACGTGTGGCCATCTTAGTTTCATATATGTACAGAGGGGACGGGCGTCGAAATTTTGACGCAGTCGGGGAAGGGAGGCAAGAAAAAACCCTTTTCAGTTATTTTTCCCGCTTTCTCCCAAACTGCCCCCATCCCCCTCTCCCGGGCAGACCCTCACTGAATCTGATAGTCGAGGAAGTCTCATTCCCCTGCTTTGTAGGAACTGTGATTCTGGTATTGCAGTTTGCACAGACGTTCCGGTTCGCCCTACAGAGCTAGCTGGGGAACCGGTGTAATTCCATAATCTTGTTTAGCCACTTGTGATCAACAGATAGTCATAGGCCTTCTTAACATCCACTCAAGCCATGCTTAAGTTCCCTTTACCTCGGTGGTAAACCTGTGACACCATTTTACCAACCATTATTGTTATTGTTATTATCATTATTATCATTATTATCATTATCATTATCATTATCATTATCATTATCATTATAATTATCATTATCATTATCATTATCATTATCATTTTCATTGTCATTGTCATTGTCATTGTCATTGTCATTGTCATTGTCATTGTCATTGTCATTGTCATTGTCATTATCATTATCATTATCATTATTATTAAGAATTCTGTGTAGAGTCTTACTTACTCTCTAAAGAATAAAGGATCGTGTCTTCAGATACATAGATTTTGTTGTCAGTTGTGAGTACTTCACATGTAATGGTCATAGTGTGACCTGTTGTTTTCTGCGGCAAAGTGCGGTTTATGCTCAAGGTGCCACTGGAAATGCTAACAACCTGAATCCTCTTGTCTTCCAGAAAACTTTTCGATGTCCAACATTTCTTATGACGGTTACAGTAACCGATTTCTTCAGCTCCTTTCACTTTCCAATACATTTCATCGTATTTGCTTGGGTCCTTTTTGATTGCATCACAATCCAGCGTCTGAATATCACCTCTAATGGAATGCTCTTGCC